TCAGAATAAAGTTTGAAGAATTGCAGATTGAGAAGTTAGACTGTGAAGTGCAGTTGAGCTAGTTAAAATGAAGTTTGAAACACTGTCAGACTTATGCAGTTGAGCTAATTAGAATGAAGTTTAATGAATTGCCATTAGATTTGTAGGAGAATGTTAGAATGTGAAAGACATAAGGAATTCAAGGAAGTTTGTTTTATGGCAAGATGTTAGAATATGGAAGAAATAAGGAATTCAAGGAAGTTTGATTTACAACAGGATGTGAATATAAGAAACACAGCATGGGTTGACTAAAGTTGACCAATATCAGTGGGCTAAGCTTACTGTATTCAGTTACAGTTCAGTTAGCTGAGCTGACTGTATTCAGTTACAGTTCAGTTTAATACAGTTGCTTTTAGTTGGGTTTTAGTTGTAAATGAGCTGTATATAAAGTACTGAACAGTGCTTTTATTATTAACAAAAGAAATACAATAAAAAATATCTACGTTTTTCTTCCATAATTTTCTTTCCCTTTCTCTCATTTTCGTTCTCTGCTTTTCTTGTTTACTGTCTTTACTCATTTACAAGATATGATTTCTTGAAATTGAGGTTTATTTGTTTTTGAGTTAGTAAATAACTCTACGAGAAATTTTCCTATTTGTCCAATTTCTAAAGAATCAAGATAACCCTTCGTTACAGTATAAATAGTCATTAATTATTCTTCAACCGTAAGACGGGCTACTTGGGATTGTTTGAGCAACTCACGTAATAGTTGATCCTTTGTCAATTGATTTTGAGTAGTTTTATCAAGATAAGAAGCAAGTTGTGCAAAGGCTTCTAATAATGGCAGGTCCGAATCCTGCATTGAAATATATAATACCAATTTGATAGCATTGTTGGTCTCAATTGACTGGAGATTATTGATAATATCAAATTATTAGTTTCATGTGAGGGCTACCAATTGACAAATGCATATATACAATAGAGTAACTAGTAACCACTATGGACGAGGTGAGCCTGAGGGTTCGTGAAGTGTTAGAATTCGATGTTATAATTTTCAGCGTCGTGTTAGATATTCTTTGGTGCTACTTTAGTGCTTTCCGATGCTTGTTTTGTGTTGGAAAATGTTAAGATCTCACACCAAAGTGTGATACTTAAGCCTTGAGTTTATCCCATCTATCAGGCCGGTCTTTTGAGTTGGGCTCTCCTTTGGGCTTGAGTTCTAACATTGGTGTTTTCGTTGAGAGTTGAGTTACAGAAATGCTACCTATAGGCTAGATTAAGGTACAGTGTGCTCTCCTTAGGAGGGGTTGCTACAATGAGTGAAGCCGCCCAAAGTGGAAAAAAGGGTTATCATCAAGTCAGTGTCGATAGAGTGAAAGCCGCTGTGGATGTCAGTAAGTGTGGTACTTAAACCTAGGGGCTCTCCTACCTATCAAGCCGGTCTTTTGGGTTAGACTCTCCCTGTTAGACTCTCCCTTGAGCTTGAGTTCTAACATAAAACCATAATTTTAAAAACAATTTTCTTGTGGTGTACGTTCACAGCTCATGGCAATGTATATCATTATACTGTTAGAGTCATGAAAGTGACTCTATTTTGGTGATAAAAATACCCCATTTGTGATTAAATTGAAGCATATTGAGACAATTAAAGAATTTATGAATTTATTCACGAAAATCGCTTCCTAATATTTTTCTTATGAATTTAACGTGTTTGGAATGATTTTGGAAAGTATATGAGTTGATATTGGGTTGTGGTTTTTGGATTAAGGGTGATTTTGTCTCATTTATGCTGTTTAGGGGGTAAAATGTCATGTTTTAAGGGGCTGATTTTGTCACTTGTCAATTGTGAAGGGACTAAATTGAAATTTTGCAATTTGTTCTATAAAACAAATTTTCAGATCGCATGAACAGGGAGGCTGCCATCCATAAAGTTTTCCGGCGACCCTTCGTCTTCCACCTCCGACGACTCTTCGGCTTCCTCGACCACAGATCACCGTCATCCCATCATCCCGGACCACCACCGTGAAACACGGAAGCTGCCGCGACGTTTCATCTTCCCTCCACCGCGTCGTTTCATCTTCTCGGCTAGTTTTGGCCGTTTTTCGACGATAATTCGGCTCCCCAAGGGTCGATCCACCTTCCCCACAGCCGGATCTACACTTCCCTAGCTTCAGCGCCGCGAAAACCACCGGAATCCGTGATTTAGCCGCCGCGACTCTTCATCTTCCAGGCCAGATCCTGCTCATTTCCGGTGACTTCTCACCTCCCCAAGACCTGATCTGAACTCCCCATCACCAGAGCTTTCCATCGGTACCTTCGGATCCCATTTCCGCCACCGTTTTCTGGAGACCCGCCGGAAAATTAACGTTTTCCGGTGAACTGCGGCTGTTCGTATTCTGGGCTGTCCGTTGGTCATTTTTACCCCTTCTTCGCATCATNGCAGTCGGAGGGGCGTCGGCAAGCGAAGAGGAATAGGTACACTGTTCCCCTAATTCGTCTTTTAAAATGCATTTTTGTAAACAGTACTATTTGTGTATAAAAAGACATATGTATTATTAATGAAAAGAAACTTTGGGCCCAATTTTATATTGTATTTATGCATGCATTGTACTAGTTTTCAGTAGTTGTTACAAGACCACTCTCTCTCATGGTGGTTTACATGCGGGTAACTCTACACTCACGGGTTCCCCATCACACGACCTATTTTCTTTTTTTTTCTGTAGCACTTAATAATCATTTAATTCTCTAGTGCTAGTTCTTTCTTTCTCTTTATTCTAAGAGAATTAGTTCTTTTCTTTATCTCTATTCATAGAGTGTTTCTTTCTCATTTCTCATATTTCTTTCTCATTTCTCATATTTCTTTCTCATGTGATTACTCAATTACACATATGCATATGGATGGCTCATGCCTAAAATCTTTCTTATATGCATTCATGACATGCAAATATGCTATGTTGCATAAAGTAAGGTTCTCTACTTCTACTCATGTTTCTTTTAGTCATTTCATCAAATAATATGTGTGCATACATAAACTCTATTCTAACTTTAATCATACTTCTTTCTTAACCATTCAAAATTGGAGTTCAACTCCTTTAAATCATCACACATCTTGCAAAGAAAACACACTTCAAATATTCCTCTAAAATTCTTCTAATTCTATCCATACTTCTACCAAAATTTAACAACACAATCCACCCTTCTCATGGTGGAAATTCTATCATATAACAACATTGAACTCATTCATGAATTCATCAACTCATTTCAAACATAAAAATTCAAGCATTAATCATATATAAAATGTCTACACATCATTCAATCAATCAAATCACAACTTAGGGGGATTTACTTACCTTAGGCTCAAAGAGGAACCACTTAAGCTCTCTACTCTTGATGGCTTGATACTTCCTCTTAAACCTTCAATACAAACTCAATAAGGATCCTACTCTTTCAACAATAAAATTTACATCTAGAGTAAGGATTCTCACCTTATAGTGCTTAGGATCAACTTGTATCGATTTCTAGTCAAAAGCTCTTCAAAGATCCTTAGAAAATTGAATGAAAATTTGAGAGAATTGAAGGATGAAAGAGGCGATGGAGAAGAATGAATGAAAGGGTTTCTAAAGCTAAACCCTTAATATCTCATATTTTCTCCACTCTTTCCCAATATACCCTTGCTCCTTCTTTGAAATTCCACCTAAGACCTTTCATTCTTTGCAAAAACATCCCCATTCAAACTATTCTCCATGCAATTTCCTTGCATTTCACTCCCCACTTTTCCTGCTAATTAGGGGTAGAATGGTCATTGAGTCCCAAAAGGAAGAATTCTCTAAAACTCAAGGGAAAATTTCAGCCGAGTCTTCGCCGCGGCGAAGCTATTTCTTCGCCCCGGCGAAAACTCACAGCAGCTACACGGGGGTTGTAGCACTTCATCGCTGCGGTGAAGCTTCTTCTTCGCCCCAGCGAAGACTGTAACATCAAGATTTCGCCAAGTTTTACAAATTTTCCGGGCAACCACTCAACTAAACCAATACACCCTTTCAACCAAGGGTAAACGAAGCAATATTAACAACATACAGACCCAAATGAGGATAAATCAATAAACATTCAAGCCATTCATCAAATCTCAACTAAGTACCTCAAGTGGGGCGTTACATCTACGGTTCGATCCTACACGTGGATCGGTAGCAAACACGTTCAGAGACAATATTGGTGGAGCCTCCAAACGTGGGTATGGTTTCTTAAACCTTGAACTGATTTCCTACAGATTTGATTATTTTATATAAATTGTGATTTTTGTACCCAGATCTTGGTTCTAAGGAACGATCCATAGAGTTTATATTTTTGTTTTCCGCTGCGTAAATGGGTCGTTTACTAACACTATCAACCACTACCATGATAGAATCCTTTCCCCTATGGGTCCTAGGCAATGCAACCATAAAATCCATGCTAAGGTCTTCTCAAGGGTGCTCGGCTATGGGTAAGGGTATATATGGGCTAGCCTCGAATTGGCTTTTAGCTCTTTGACATGAACCATATCTTCTAATAAGAGCTTGAACATCTCCTAGCATTTTGGGCCAATAAAAGTATTCTTTAATGGTCTCTAGGGTCTTAGTAACCCCAAAGTGGCATGCCAACCCACCACTATGTGCTTTTCTCATGATCAATTCTCTAAAACTATCCTTAGGAACGCATAATTTTCTACCCTTAAATAAATACCCATCATGCATTATGTAATCCTTTAAACTAGGTTCTAGAGTTTGTGTTGGGAAGCCTCTTTATATGGATAACATTACGGATGCTGGAGATAGGCTAAAGTTTGTGTTGAGATGGATCCATTGTCATCCTTCCTGAATAGGATTGAATTCAGGCTTACGAATGGTGAGTTTGTGGATATTGTTGTTGAGTACTCTTGGAGGCTGAAAATGTGTAGTTGCTACAAGGTATTTGGGAATGATATTAAGGAGTGCCGAGTGGCCAATAGAAAGGTTAAATTTCCTCCCAACATTAATGATTTTAATTAAATGCATGAATGGAAAGAGGTGTCAAAGAGGAAAGAAGTGGTTTTGGGGAAGAGTGCTAAAACCATGGATAGGAAAAGCTCCAAAGCGACAATCAATATTAATAGTTTTGTGGCGTTAAGTGATCATAAGGAGATAAGGGGTGATGGGAGTAGCATTAGGGGTGAATTGGGAAAGAGTTGCAAAAGTAGGGAGGGTGGCGTGAGTAGGGAAAAAGAAAATGTAGATCCTCCTAATTGCGAGCAGGTTGCACTTGAGATTAGATTAACTAATGAGGAGGATAATTGTGGGGTGAGTGACACTTGTAAGGAGGTGATAAACCAATATTTGTGTAATACCCACATTTAGAAATATGGTAGCGATTATTTTATAGTCATAGTGAATATATTTAACTAGTTTTATAGAGGAATTCCATAAAACTTTTAATAGGGGCAAAATGGTCATTTCACACAGAATCACGTGTTCAAGTGAAAAGTAATTATGATAAATATAATGTATTAAGTGTGCTAGCCATGAGAATAGAGTGGTAGAAAAATTATGAAAAATACACGTGGCGTGATGTCGTGATTAATACGTGGCTTTTTTTTTTTTTTTTTAGTTTTTTTGGGTAAGTAAGCATTTATAGCAAGGGGAAAGAATGTACAAAAGGCCTAAAAGTCAATCAACCTACCTTAGGACAAGCCCTGGGTTAGGAGCAAAGGAATGATACTATTTAAGTCTACCCCTAATCTTCTCTTTTTCCCATTTCTCTTGTCAAAGGAATGGAACCAAGCGGAGATTAAAGAATACAATGAATCCCACCTACCACAGGACATGCCCTGGGTTAGGTTCAAAAGTATAAGAATACAAAACCCATATACATAAGCATTAACAAGAAGAATTCCATAAACATGGACATTAAGAAGGTAGGGCCCATTAATGACACAAAGACAAGGCGTTAGATCAACACCCCAAGTCTTCCAATTGCCAAAATACGTGTTTGTAAAGCAATAGAAAGAAATTAAAGAATAAGGGTAAAAGGGTCTTTTCACTCACAACTAAATGAAAGAGTGGGGAGTGAAAATGACCAAGAACATGTGTTAAATCCAATGAAAGTGAGGGTATATTGGTAAATGCACGTATGGCATAATTGGAATTATCATAAAAATGCAAGGGAAAAATGGGAATATGTGTGTGTGTGTGTGTGTGTGTGTGTGTTTTATTAGCTATAAGGCTTCAATTGATAAAACCCTAGCCATTCTCACCCTTGAGCATGCCACCTCTCATCCATTTTCTCTCAAGCTTCTTCATCAAATTTCAAAGAGAATTCATAGGGTCTAGCTTAAATTTTTGTAGATTTTCAATCCTAAAGCATCCAAAGGTAAGATTCTAGCACAAAAGTGTGTATTTAAGCTTTAAAGATTTGAATTCTTATGTTTTTACATGATTTAGGTCCAAGAGGAAAATAATTTTTGCAAAGGAAGGTTGAATCATTTTCAAGGGAAGCAAACCCAATCTACGCTTTAATTTGAGTTGTATATGTGTAAGTTGATTCCTAACTGTTTATGTATGATGTATGATAAGAAGTATTGGTTGTTTAGATGCTTGTTTAATGGAGAATAATGTGTAGAAGTTCAGCCAAGATGAGTAGCTATGTAGATGTGATGTTTTGAATTTGGAAGTGTTGAATCTGGCCAGATTTGAAGTTAAATTTGGTGTGTTTTTGCTCCAATTTTGGTGGATTTGGAGAGATGTGGAAGTGTGGCCAACCAAGTATTTGCATGTGCATGTGAATTGTTTGATCAAAATTCAAAGAGAAATGGATGCATGAGTTTGTTAAATCTTGTTACAGAAATTGTTTGAGAAAGGAAAGAATTGTGAGTTGATGTTGGAATTTGGAAGTGTGGAATCCAGCCAGAAGTTAAGTTTGGTGAGTTTTTGCTCCAATTTTGGTGGATTTGGAAAGATGTGGAAGTTGGCCAACCAAGTATTTGCATGTGCATGTGAATTGTTTGATGAAAATTCAAAGAGAAATGGATGCATGAGTTTGTTAAATCTTGTTAAAGAAATTGTTTGAGAAAGGAAAGAATTGTGACTGTGAAGTTCACTATATATATACTGCAAAAGTTATGGTAAAATGCTTTCATAGCGTTTTTGAGTTGTAGACTGTAATGCCACTTTATTTTATGAAAGTAAACTGTGTGCTTCACTCAAAACAAAAGTGCAAGCATCATCATATTTGCGAAATTTACCATATATATGATGCAAAAGCTCACGCAAAAGGGTTCACAGTGCTTTTGTGCTACCAAACGCAACTAATTTGAGGCAAGTAAACTGTGTCCTTCACTCAATATGAAAGTGAAAATCTCATTCTAATTGCCAAATCCACTATATATTTGTCACAAAAGTTTCGGTAAAAGGCTTCTGTAGCATTTTTGAGTTGTTGATTGTGATGCCACTCGATTTTATGCAAGAAAACCTTATGTTTCACTCAATACGGAAGCACAAACCTCTTCATATTTGCAAAATTCACTATATCTATGTCGCAAAAGTTTTTGTAAAAGGCTTTCGTAGCGTTTTCAAATTGCTGATTATGGCGCATCTCAAGTTTATGCAAGTAAACCATGTCCTTCGCTCAATATGAAAGTACAAGCATCATCGTATATCGAAAATTCATTACATATAAGTGTCGCAAAACCATTACAAGGCAGATCATTGCTTGGATGCCTTGCAAAAACCGGCTACCGACAAAGGATAAGCTTATGAGGTATAGGATTGCTTCTTCTAATGCTTGTTGTTTTTGTACCCATGGGCTTGAAACTTTGGATCGCCTTTTCTTTGGTTGCAATTTCAACCAAGTCATTTGGAACTAAGTCCTTGAACTCTCTTCCCTTGGTTATGTTACCCACCCTTGGAATGATTATGTCAATCTCCTTGCTACTAGATGGAAGAAGAATAAATTTAAGTATTTACTTGGGAAGTTGAGTCTGGGAGCTACCGTGTACTCTATTTGGCAGGAGAAAAACAATCGGTCCTCTGGAGGGGAAAGTAAAGATGCTCTCACTATCCACAATTCCATCAAGTCCTTGGTGAGAGAAAGAGCTTTGGACCTAAGTAAGATTAAGGGGAACACTCATAATTAGAGACTTGCCGAGAATTGGGGGCTTCCTAAATCCATCTTCAAAAGTTCCCATGGGAGTTGATGGTATGGGAGGATGTGTTGTGATAGCTTCTTGTTGGTGTGAGGAGATTTTGGTTGGTGACATCATTGTGTTGGTTGTGGGCTCTATGTGTAAATGTCCGTGTTATGGATGCTTAGGTATTAGATCTTTATTTTGAAAAATTTTGAACCTAACGCAAGGAATGTCCTATGGTAAGTTGGCTTCTTTGTATTCTTTTGGCTTCTCTTGGTTCTATTTCTTTGGTAAAAGGAATGGAAAAAAGAGAAGTCTAGGGGTTGGCTTAGATAGCATCATTCTTTTGCACCTAACTTTGGGTATGTCGTAAAGTAGGTTGGCCACTTTTAAGACCTTTTGCATATTCTCTTCGTTTCCTATAAAAAGCTTACTTACCCCAAAAAATAAAAAAAAAAAAAAAAAGTGTCACAAAACTTCCCACAAAAGGATTTCACAGGGTTTTCGATTCGCGATTTTGACGCCACATGATTTTATGCAAGTAAGCCATGCCCTCCACCCAGTACAAAAGTGATCCAAATCCAACAACACAACAACAATAATACACCACAAAATCAAAATAAATTCAGCTAAGCATAAACCAGTACAAAACACTTACTTGTAAATTTTCGGACCAAGACAAGTAGTAACCTTCAAGCATAAAGGATCACTCTACCAACTTGAATTTAATTCACCACCAAATCCCCTTGCCAAGACTTCGATAAAGAATTCTAAAAAAAGAACACACAAGTTCTTTGAAAATGGATAAGCCAAATATTTCATATATCTTGACTAATAATACAGTGAGGAATAATTAACTTTATACAGGCAATTACTGGGATAGAAAAGTAAATCACAAATACAAAGAAATTACAAATAAAGTCAACAAAAATTACAAGCCATTCAATTAGAAAAAAAAGCCCATGCCTATTTAATGCAAAGGGGACATAAAACCTTAAATCTATGAATCTTTGTCATAACCACTCTATTAGGTGTATAAGCTTGCTCCTATTGGATCAAAAGCCAATCAATGGTCTTAATTAATTCTACTAATAAGGGTGCATGAAATTGGGCCTTGAGAATCATGGAAATGAACCCAATAAGGAGTCATGTGAATTCTTCTTTTATAAATGCAAATTGGGCCGAATTGGGTGTTTTGGGCAATTGGGCTTCTTTCTTGGTGGACTTGAACCTCTCTGTTAGCAAGTGATCGGGTATACGCAGCGAAAAACACAGATTCAAAAAAAATAAAAATCCTATCAAATGCTTAATCGCAAATCTAGGCATAGATTATAATGTTTACATGTTTATAAATTCTGCATTAAAACAATATAATAAATCCATACAAGGATTTAAAATAACTTACCAACGTTTAGAGGCTCCTTCAATACTTTAGTTTCGCTTGTAGATTCAAGAAGAGAATCGCACGAACGTCGTCCACACGAAGATAATCCGGAGAATGTACTACTTTTTTGCTAGAACAAATAGAATGCTTCAAGAATCAAGTGAATCAAAGAAAGAAATTCATCGATTCACACACACTTTGAAAAACGTGAGAGAGGGAGAAGGGTGGCTAGGGTTTTTCTTATATAGTGTAACTTAATTAAAACCCTAATTCCAATAGGAATAGCCATGGACTCTCAAGTTAATCCATCCTTGCAACCAAACATGCCCTTTATGGTATTTTAATTTTAATTAATTATTAATATAATTAAAATCAATTAATATATAATAATATATTAACATTTAATTATTAATAATAATCCATTTAAATACATGTGCACATATGTTTAAATAAAATCTCACTAATTTTATTTTTTGTCTTAGTCCCAATTCAACACTAAACAAGTCCGAACTAATTGAATACTTGTGTCATAAATTCCCCAAGTAGGTTTGCCCTTTCCATAAATGATATAATTGACAACTCGAAGTTGCATATTATCTTTTTTGCGCAGCAGATCCTGGGGGAAGAGTTTTGCTAAATTTATACTGTCCCCTATTTCATATGGGAATACGGGTCGAACCAAAACAAAATACTTTTTCTTGGTAGGTGTGATCCGTTGTACATAGATCCATTTTTTCAATTTTTTTGATTCCTTCTTTGATTCCTTAAGTTCTTTTTTCCCGTTTCTGGTGGTT